GTAGTCACGCAGTTTCGGGACCTTGGCAAGGGGCGAGCCGCCAGCTGCCCTTGGCTGCAGCCACTGGCCGCCGTCGTTCGTCACACCCCGACCCAGCCCCGACCCAATTTTCTCCCCCGCCCCCGCCACCCAATGCAACAGGCCTGGAGCCCGTTGACGTCATCCTGCTGCTCGCGGCCACCGAGAATGACGACCCCAAGATCGAGGAGCTGCTGGCAGCCGGCGCCAACGTCAACGTGAAGGACAACCTCGGACGCCGCCCCCGCGATCTGGCGACCAAGGACGTCGTCATCAAGATGCTGGACGCGGCCGAGGGCAAGCTGGTCCAGGCGTGACTCCTGAACTCTGTGTGTTGAGAACGTTTGAGTGAAGCCGGCGCTGCAGCCTGGGCGTGTCTGGGTGCAAAAGCACGTGACGCCATGCGGGAGGGCTGGCGCGAGGGCCTAAAAGTGCGGGATTGCTGCAATCCTTGATCACGCTNGCAGCACACGCAAAGGCACCTTCTCTGCCGCAACACGCTGCCATTCGCAAACCGACTGCTGCATTTTGCCGCGCTTGTCGCGCCAAGCTTGTGCTGTGCACACGTGCGAGTTGGCGCAAGGCGCACAGTCGCGCCCGCTGTCGGAGCGCCTCGCAGCCGCTGAATACGCCGCCTTGCGCCCATCGTAGCGCGCAGCGCACAGCTTGGCACGGGTGCGTGCCGCATCACTCATTGTCTTGTTTCGGTGTTGCCAAGCGCGGCCTTTGGCCCAGTTCAGTATCGGGCGCAGCTTGAGGCCCCTCTCTATTCATGATCGCCCATGCTGTGTGTCCTCCCCTTTTTTGGCGCGCAATCACCCGGACCCTAGACCTCACTTCTGTTAGTAACCAGTATGTTACGACCCCGACCCATCCTCGTATGGCAGAGGGACCAGCCTTGTCGCAACGACACACGCACCCCAGACAGTGGCAGGGCACGCGCACTCTGTACGACATCTGCAGCACGCAACGGGCGGCAGCCGTCTGAAAAAGCCAACGTGGTCGCCTTGCGTCTAGTAACCAGCCGCAGCGCCGGGCAGCTGAAAACCCGGGGCAAGGGGTGTTAGGGGCGGGGGGGCGCCGCCCTCAGGTCACGCGACGCGCGTCGTAAANCGCCTTGGAGTCCGACCACAGGTGGCTGCCGTCGTCGTAGAGCGCCTTGACAGAAAACACGTACTCACTGTTGGGCCGCAGCCCCGCCGCGCGCGCTGACGTGTCCTTTCCGAGGTACACCTCACGCACCGCGCCGGCCGAATTCGCGAGCATGAGCTTGTACGAGGCTATCCGCTCCGCGTTCTTGCTGGGCGGCCGCCAGGCGACGTGGATCGACGTCGACGAGGCCGAGGTTAGCGCGTCGACGATCTCGAGGGCGCTGACCTGCTCCTCGCCGCCGCGGCGCTCGGCGCGGAGGCGCTCAACGTCCTCTGGCAGCGTGAGCTCTATGACCTGTCAGCGGCGCCGCGCGGCCGGCGGGCGGCGGTGTGCACGCGTTGAGGGCGCTTGCGTATGATGGACCACAGCCCAGTTGGGGGCCAGTGTGGCTCTGCAGCCGACCAGGCACTGTCGTGAGTGAC